CAACACCGTGAATCAAACCAGGACATTAGCTGTGATCGTTTGGAAACAAGATGCACATTGTAAAAGCACACTGACTGGTAGAACTTAACAATATGTGATATTATCTATAAGCGTCACTATGTGTGTCTGTCATCCTACAATGGCATCCCAGCAAAAGCAGCAGAAATTCCTTCCTTCCTAAATACGCTCCAAAAGCTCGGTTTTGTATGTTCCCATAAAATCATAGAATCATAGAATCATAGAATGTTTAGGGTTGGAAGGGACCACTAGTGGTCATCTAGTCCAACCCCCCTGCAGGAGCAGGGACACTGCTAACTAGATCAGATTGCTCAGAGCCCCATCCAACCTGGCCTTGAATGTTTCCAGGGATGGGGCCTCCACTACCTCTCTGGGCAACCTCTTCCAGTGTTTTACCACCCTCATTGTAAAAAATTTCTTCCTTACCTCTAGCCTGAACCTACCCTGTTCTAGTTTAAAACCATTTCCCCTTGTCCTAACACAGCTGGCCCTACTAAAAAGACGTTCCCCATCTTTCCTATAGGCCCCCTTTAGGTACTGGAAGGCCGCAATCAGGTCTCCCCGTAGCCTCCTTTTCTCCAGACTGAACAAGCCCAACTCTCTCAGCCTGTCCTCATAGGAGAGGTGCTCCAGCCCTCGGATCATTTTTGTAGCCCTCCTCTGGACCCATTCCAACAGTTCCATGTCCTTCTTGTGCTGAGGGCTCCAGAGCTGGACGCAGTACTCCAGGTGAGGTCTCACCAGAGCTGAGTAGAGGGGCAAAAGAGTTTTCTAAAGAAAAGGTGCAAAATGTGCATGAGGCTACGTGCTGAGATGCTGAGCACAGGCAAATCAAGTAATGTACCAGACAGCATCGATATCAGCTGTATTTGGCAAACTAAAACTTTATGGCCAAGGATTCACTAATCCTACCCAGAGCCTGCTTTGCCAACAGCAAACCAGAGCAAGGTGTGGTGTCCTTGTTCCTACGATTGTCCCACTTTCTTAATCCGTGTCACCGCCAAAGGCATTCAGTCTCTTCCTAGGTTCTCTGAGAAAAGATTCACCACCTCCTTCCTTTCTCTAAAGTTTCTCACTACAGGCTTCCAAAGGGAAACTGGAAACTCACTGCTAGACACCACTGTTAAAGCAGTATTTTTTAATTTGGCTTTCTTTTGGCGCTCAAGGCATCTCAGCTTCAGAATATGGCCCATTTCATTCATTATTAGCCAAAGGGAGTCAAGTCCCAAGGGTCCGGGTGCTCTGATGTCTGTAGCAGGGCAAAAGTATAAAGAATTTGACCTTCAGGAGAACTAACTGTTGTTTCCAAAAGCAGTAGGCATAGGGAGCCACCCTCTACCCCGTGAAAGCCACCTACACATCCCTCAGAACAGATGGAAGTTAACGATTACCAGCATTTAGCTCAAGGTGGATGGAACTCAGTGGGTGATTAATGTCCTAACAGCATTAACTATTTATTCTCTGTGACCTGAGCATCTTCCAGTTAAACAAACACCCCAATATTACCAGAGTCTAAATCCAAGTAGAGAGTTATTCTCATTCTGCAACAACCTACTGTTACTAATCTTGGCCTTCTCTCCATGGCTACCACACCAAAACAGGAGATAAAGATAAAAGAGAGAATTTCTCCAATGAAATTTAAGTCCATCTCTCTGAAAAAATAGGATACCAAACAGACAATACGTGTGTTCACTGCCCTGCAGATGCTGAAATTTTCACAGAGATTCCTGTGCCACTCTTTCTTGCAGAATCCTCGTGTTTACTCAATGTCGGGTGTGTTGGTGTTTTTCTTACGCAGAAATAACAAGAACTGTGTGTTTATAAACACAATTGTTTTCTTTTAAGAAACACCTGCATTTGTTAGTGTTTCCCTCTCAAAGAAATATTTCCTTTGGAAAAATACTAATTTTTCTCTCTGGCCATTTCAAGAACAATTACAACATTTAACTAGTCCTGCTCCCTGAGGTTTCATGGCCCACTGCTTGAAGACCTGCCGAGGATGTGAGAAGCATTCTGTGAGACACAATGAACCCACATGCAGGACACTCATCCTTGACCACATCTGCTCTCGATGGGAGCTGAGGCCTGCTGTCATCTCCCAAAGGCAGGAATGTAGAAATTTAAAAATTGACTCTTACGGGACATTTCCAAGGTATGGACATTACCTTTCAAACTTAAAGTTCTTCCAAGGTTTTCCTAGCATTTATTCTCCATAAAGAGGTGTCTCTTTAAGCTGGAAATCCAGTCTGAGGTTCTTGTTGTCAATGAATCATTCTGGAACCAGAATAAAAATCCACTCTAGAAAAGAATGGCTCTGGAGCTTTTTTGGAGGCCAGGTCTTGATTGGGGAGTTTAGGCAAGCTCTAGAAGGGGGCACTGTCATTAAACCCTTTGCTTTCCGTTTTGTGAAGACACCAGAATCTTTCCTGTGATTTGTAAAAACTTTGTACTCTACCAACACTTCTTCATTGTTCCAGCCCACACAGTAAAGGTGACACAGCAGTGCAGAGCAGCAGTCAAGACAAAATAGGAGTGGAAAATAGTGACAACATTTTGCCACGTAGTAATTGTCAAATCAGGGCCTGCTTGACACACACACACAAGTTTACAAGTTTGCTGTAGTTTAATTTACTCTTGGGCATAGCTTGGGAATGTTTCTAGAATAAAACCTTTTGGTGCAGCTGATAGCTTGGGAAAGGATTTGCCTCTGGGAATAGGAAACCGTTTCAATCCCTTCTGCATCTCTTGGAGGAATTTTTAATTTTAAAGCATTGATGATTATGCTAATGAGTGCTTACCCCCAAATGACAATGGAATATAAATGTTGACAGTAGCCAAAACATACTGCAAATGTGCAGCAAACGCTTCCTCCAGAGAGCCATCTATGCTACATGATAGCTCAGCTGGGAAGAAGCAATGTTCTTCACATGGAAAAGCAAAGTAAATGCATCCTCAATCCATGACATCCCAAGGTGGCACTTCTGGACTTTGCTGGATAACCATGGATCAATCGTTACTTTATCACTCGGGCATGCATTAAAATGTCCAATTTAGTTCTTAGGTAAACGTGAACCTTTCCCTTAGATCAGATGTACGAGCAACATCAAGTGGATTTAGCTAGGATTCCTCATGTAAACTTGGATTACAAGTGAAGCTGTCTTACATTTGAACGTACAAGAGGCTGAAGACCCTGGCTCCAGAAGTGGATTTGAAGGGGGCTGTTCAGGAGCTTGCTGCTTTGAAACTCAAAGACTGAATAGCTTGCAAAGTTCTTCGTTCTGCACAGGCTTGGTGGAACTGAGGAAGGAACTCAGGAATATGTTGCCCTAAAGTAGTACTCCTTAAGTGTCATCCTGCTTCTGGCAGAGCAATCAAAGCTGACTCCTAGGAAGGCACTCCTCCATACAAAGATGAGAGAAGCACGGCTTGGGTATTCTGTGGTAGATGCTGGCCTTTAGCACTCCCTCCTTTTTGGCTTCCCCTGGACCCAGGTCTCCAGATATGAACCCCATTTAATCTTCTAGTACGAGACACAGAGAAGTTAAGACTGTGTGCATATGGCTAAAATGCATCTTCTTCTCATCACAAAGAGTCTATTTGCTCCTGCAAGCCCAAGGACTCTCCGTGCTGATAACCAGTACATCGTACATGAAGACTCCTCAGCACTGCTCCTGCGTTTTTTCAGGCACTTTAAAAAAGACATATTCTCCCATAATCCAACAGGAAAGAATTTACAGAACAACTCCGCTTACCAAAACCCACACAGAAAAAAGTTTTGAAACCCTAAACAGAACCCTTTTAACATGTTTTAATTACTCTATTTTTAAATCTTTAGTGATTTTTTTTTTTCCTAGCTCAAGCCTTTTCTCATCTAAGCATTACAAACCTCCATCCAAGTAGTACTACCATTACTCGATCCAAAGCCTCCAAAGCACATCAGGTCTGACCGCAGGGCTTAAACCCCTGGAGATCTCATAGGTAGAGTCTGTTACATGATGCTGCCTGCAGCTGATTGCCTTTAGTTCCCAACAAAGTTCATCTGAGATACTTCAGACACCTCACGCGCCGTAGGGAGAACACTATGTAACTGCTCATTTAATTTGGGGACAAAGTACCGAGCTTGCTACCAAACTGGTTTGGTTGTATAGTCCCAGCTACCCAGTTTCTCTAAAACAAAGGGGTTGTTTTCAGCCCAATCCATTGGTAAGGGCACCTGAAAGGTGCCAGATGAGAGGTTTCCACATGCTTCAGTCCTAGTACAGGGGACAGGTGTCACCGAAATCAGGAAGAATGAACCTCGTAACACCAATGTAGTGTTAGAAGGCAGGCATTCTTTATTCACGGCGCCGGATGCACGGGGGATCGCTCCACCTAACGTGCATACCATCAAGCGGCAACTTGCCCGTTTATATGTAGCAAAGTATTACATATGTATGAATTTTCTCATTCCTTCTAGTCTGGCAACCTTGGCAAACCGTTATTATCTTTTTGCTTCATCCCCTCCCGATTCTTCCCGTCCTTGAAAAGGGTTCTAAATTCACTAAGTAACTATACTACAGACTTTAAGAAGAACAAAAAATCCAAGCTAGACACTACTGACTTTAACAAAGCAACCGCAAGCTAGACAAAGCTAATAACAAAGCAACAGCAAACTAGACAATACTAATTTTAGCAAAGTAACAGCAAGCTAGACAATAAGGCCTAAATCTTATGCAGGTAAGCCGTTTTACCTTTGGGGTCTTTTTGACCCTTAGGGTATCACAGGGAGGCTTCCCAAATCCACAATTTTCCATGACAAAGGGTTAGTTCAGCTGCATGGGTCCTGCCAGAAGGATGCTTGTTAGTCCAAGGAGTACAAAGATAGGTGGATTTGAACAGATCAAGCTGATTTAGAACTTTGCATTCAACTCCCAAAGTTTTCCCTTGGAATCACGGACCCCTGTATGGCTAATTTAAATCTACTGACACTAAGTGTCCTTGTCTTTGCGACCTTTTGCAGATCTCTTCAAAGCAGTGCACAGAATTCCGAGGATTCACGGCCCATAGGTTAAAAAGAAGCCTAGAAAAACAGAATGCCTGCGCTTATTTTTCTGAAGATCATTTGTTAGATTTCCCATCAGCACTCTCATAGGATGAAATCTTGGCCCCAGTTGAACTCAACAGGAATTTTGCCACTGACTTAAATGGAGCTAAAATGTCGCTCCTGCTATTTGTCAAGTCAATTACATCCAGACAATACTTTAACATCTGGCTTCAGCTGAACACACAGAAAAGTTCACTCCTTTAGTCTCTGAAGACAACACAATACGTTGGCTATCTCAGTAAAAATGAAAAATTTGTTCTTGGCAAGCTGCTTGTAACAAAGAGTGGATCCATCCAGTGACACTATCGGAACCAAATCCCTGATCTCTGGCGTACAGTCATTGGCAATGGCATCAATCGAGTCTCTGTCATTTTCTGGGAAGAATGTCAGAAGCACCCATCTACTGTCGAAAGTCATTGTGTTGTAAAAACTTTGTTTAGAACAACAGATCTGTCCTGCTCTGTGGTTTCCCACAGACGAGGGGGGTTTTCACCCCATTCATCTTCTGTTTCCCCAGCCACCGGAAGGTCCCTGCTTAGGGTAGGTAGCAGCCGTTCTATCTAAACCCCTCTCTGAGTACGGTGATCAAAGGTAAGGCTGAGGGATAACTGATTGCCGAAGGACAACTGATGTGAGCTCGTTTCCCTCTCTAACACCCAGCTGAGACAAGGCATTATTGGTTTATTGCAAAAATATTCAGGCTGGGTCAACCACAAGCAGGGTACATCTTTTCGTGTCAGAAAAAAAATAAAGCTATAGACTTATTTGATCAGTGGTGACTTAAAAAAACCTATTTGAATCAGAAGAATCACTGGATGACATCTGGAAGAAAAGGGATGTACAAAGGGGGGGTGTGTGTGTGTGTGTGTTATGCTTTAAGGATCTGCACGGTGTTGTTCCTTGCTCCAAGTGCTGGTGAGTTACCGTACTGCACACCTGTGCAAAACCAGCTTCCTTCCATCTTGTTCCATCCCCTGGGAAGCAAAACCAAAATCAGTCTCCAGTATCTGATGAGCCTTAATTCCCAGCACTTAAATAATTAGCTTCTCAAATGTACGAAAACAACTCTCATTTTCGGGATTAATGAAGGAAGCTGGGTTCCACTGAGCAAAGCTATTATGGAGCTGCTAATGCACGGTTTGATTTCATCGCCTGCCACTAAACACAGAGCGATGGGGGCTCCTGGGAGAGCAAGAATACAAGGAGAGCAACGCTGGAGGGTTAAAGTAGAAGGCAGCGAGAGAAACCCTAGCAATACTTTGTGGTTTTGTGCAGAGGGAGGGCTGGTTTTATTTGTGTGTCTGCTGAGTTTCATGGGGGTTTGTGAAGATGCCATATAACCCAAAAGAAGGCTAAAGCTCAGGGAGGTCCTAAGGGGTGGACAGTTTGCTTCAATCACAGACCAGGCAGGGGCAGTTTCTGAAGCAGGGGAACAGAAATGTAACACACACAGGAGCCTAACCCTTAGCCATGAAGCAGCTTCTGCCCAAGTTCTGTAGCCAGAGCAGTAGAGAATGGCAAAAAGCTGTAGTGCGATATCTTTCACAGCTGGAAGGCTACAGTGGTACGGGGCCGTACTGGTCCTCCCTGCTTATTTGGCTTATGAGTTGATAGGAAACCGGTTGCAAGGAGTCAATTTTTTCCTTGCCTCATCTCAGCAGCTACAGGCGTATGAACCCTTCAAAACAAACTTCTGTTCTTTTATATCTAGGCACAGGACTGGCAATTTCATTTTTCCTATCTGGATGGAGAAGGGACCGAGAAAAGAGTGCGAAGGCTGCTCTCCTCTGTCCTGGGAGATTTAAACTTAGGCCATATTACAGGAACAACTCAACAGTATTAGGACTCTTCCTTTCTCCTCTCTGCCTCGCTATTTTGCTGCCTTGCCCCAGACTCTGCTGTTTCACATAGGCAGAACCAAAAGCCCACACTGAACCTCTCTGTGTGGTACATGGAATGGGGAAGAGAGAGTAACTAGGAAAGCAGGGCTTTTGAGATATAACTACAGCTATTAAACAAAAAGTCATGCAACTTCTCAGACACCGGGAGGTGGAAAGGCCTAGAGTGTTGATTTCCTTTGGTTCTTCAACCATCAAAAAGCCCTTCACAGTATGTGTCATTCTCCCCCAGCCATTAGGGCATCCAAATTAGTGGACCTGCAGTTCTGGATGTGGATTTGGGGCTAAAAAGTTTCTTACACTCAAGTTCTTCTAACTCCAGTAGTGTCAATATGCCCTCAAGCACATAACATCTGTCACACTCTGCAAAACAAAACCAAACCAAACCAAACCAAACCAAAACTTTTGACCTCTGTAAGAAAAGCCTGGAATTGCAACGGAAGCCCTGGGTTGATAAAGAAACCTTGGTGCAGACAAGCAGGAGGAGTTGAGAGATTAATGAGGAAATCAATGGAACTGTGCTGGTTTATGCAGCAAAGTCTGTGCTTCGTAGCCCAACTTTCAGAGATAGGGACCAAGGACACCAGGGACCTGCAGATGCTTAAGAACCTCAGCACCTTCCCAAATGGGGTCCAGTTTTCTAGAGGTGGCCATTCAAAATTAAGCCTCTCTGAAAACGCAGAGATGCTGCTGCTTATGTCAGGGCTTGTTGGACCACTGGCTTCAGAGGAGTTACACCCCCTGTAATTTAGCTGAAGCAATCAGGGAATAATTATGTACAGTGGAGAGTTAAAAGACAGTAATTAAACTGTACAAATAAATAACTGAAGTGACTAAAAAAGTCCACCCAAAGCCTACTTTTGGAGCACTATTTAATGTAAATGAATCACTTAGTGGACAATGCAACAATCATCTGTTCAGCTTCTATTCATTATCAAAAACAATACAAAAGGATTGGCAGGGAATAGCCATGTGCCACAGGGAGCCCTTTAGGAAATACCACAGAACCGGGACTGGCTTTTGTCTGTTCTTCTATTGTGTTCTGACAATGCTTCGCTAATGAATGTCCAACGTCATTTTGGTTGTCCTTCCCCCGCCCCCCCAAAACAAATCAGTAGTAATCTTGGCCTTTCAGAATGAACTGAAATGCTCTGAGGAAGACTTCCACACGTTAGGTATCAGTTTTGTCCAGGTCTAAGAGGCTGAGGAGGTGCGGTCTCAGGCACCCAGGGAAATCCCACTGGAGGTCATGAGGCAAAACCCTCTGATTTGGGCAAAAATCCATTAAGTTCTGAAGAAATCATCACCTACCTTGGAAACTCCAAACGCTTACTGAATTCAGTACTTCAGTGAGTTGCATACTCAGTAAATTCATCTTTTGTTACTCAATTTGAAAGACATTAACCTCATTCTAAGAAATAATCTGCTTTTCAATCGGGAGTATTTGTGCTGGCCATGTCCAGGATTATCTTGGGAGTTATCTCCAGGGAAGTGCAAGCTAAAGGGAATCCCCACGAGGGATCTGGGGAGGTAAACAGACCAGGCAGACACCTACGCTAGAAGGAAAAGAGGCTAAGAAGACAATACCACGCACTAAAATACTGTCATTATGCTCCAGAACTGATGATCTGCTGGCAGGTACATCTCAGAGTTACTGGTTTGGAATATCTGAAATTGCTGGAACATGTCCAGAAGAGAGCAACCAAGCTGGTGAGGGGTCTGGAACACAAGTCATACGAGGAGCGGCTGAGGGAACTGGGGTTACTTAGTCTGGAGAAGAGGAGGCTGAGGGGAGACCTGATCGCCCTCTACAACTGCCTGACAAGAGGGGGTAGCGAGGTGGGGGGCGGCCTCTTCTCCCTGGTAACAGATGATAGGACGAGGGGGAACAGTTTGAAGCTGTGCCAGGGCAGGGTTAGGTTGGACATTAGGAAAAACTTCTTCACTGAAAGGGCTGTCAGGCTCTGGAATGGGCTGCCCAGGGAGGTGGTCGAGTCCTCATCCCTGGAGGTATTTAAAAGAAGGATAGATGAGGTGCTTAGGGGCATGGTTTAGTGGTGGGATGGCAGGGTTAGGTTAAAGGTTGGACTCGATGATCTCAAAGGTCTTTTCCAACCAAAGTGATTCTATGATTCTATGAAAGTTCGAACGTGGCGGCATGGCAGGTACCCGTAGGGGAACCCTCTTCTTACCTGGTTCCATGGCTCACTCCTAGGTTGCTGCCGCAATTTACAGCTCCTGCAGTGTTTCTGGTTCAACTCTTTGCAGGCCCGCAGTGGAAGCCAAATCACTGAAACAGTCTGAGTTAAGAAAAAAGGGCAAGAATGATACGCAAAAGAGAAAAGAGTGGGGCGGGTAAGTAGGCTTTGCTGCTGAGGGAAGGGCGTGTGGAATGGCACCCGGATTTGACTTCTCAAGGCTGTCTCTGAGGTTGTTTTATTTTGTAAACAAAACCTTAGGCTCTGCAGCAAATTTCTGCAGCCAGAGATTATTTTTTACCAAATCCAGTGATGATAGAGTATGTGGGTTTCCAGTTAATGCTATCTACAATTCGAGATAGAAAGGCACACTTCATAAAATCCTGCTACTAGCTCAGCCTTCCAAATAAAATAGACAGAGATGGCATCAAACCCCCTAGGGCTTCTGCTTGCAAAATCCCCACCAAGTGAGCTGCATAGCTTGGCTTGCGATTCGGGAGTTTTACTCACAGCATGTATTCAGAATGCCACTGAAGGTGGGACTCGAGGGGAGGGCTGCCAGCCCATACTGGGACTATTTATGCTATTACTATTTCCAGCTTCTTCCCGTCTTTCAGCTGGAGATCATTACTGTTGAAGCAGAGGCTGCAAAATGGGTGGCGTATCTTCTCCCGCGCCCACCACAGTTCGGTGCTTGGAATAGAAACGCAACCTGCAATCGTTGGCAATTGATAGCCGAGTACGCTGAGCTGGGAACGACGATGCATGGCCCAGCCTGCCGCCTCGGGTGCTGCCCAGAGACCTCCGCCAGCCGGCCGGGGCAGCGACATCGAGTATCAGTCTGCCTGGGACTGCTGGAGCTCTTTGGGAGACACCGTCTGCATCGCAGCGACCGTGGGGCTTCAGTTCAAGACAACACGATTCCTGGTACCTGCTAGGCAGGGGTGCCGTGCCGAGCCGTGCAAATGGGTGGTTGTAATACCCTAGAGCAGGAATCCTGAATGCTGCCCTTTGACGAAATATTTTTACCACTGGGCAGGGGTTGGGCAGGGAGGGGCAACTACTCAGCTTCTGATAAACAATAGTTCATTTTGCAAGACCATTGCTACCATTTGCACTAATTGACACTTTTTGATTTTTATAGCAATCCCTGTTAAAAGACAAAAGATCTCAAGTATCCTCTTAGAAGTAAAAAAAAAAACCCTGATTATGTTAACACATAAAGCATCATCCTAATATTGGGATACACTGATGAGAACCCAGCATAATTAACCCCCTTTGTTTAATAAACTTTCCCTAAAACATCCCCCAAAGTATACTCAATAAAATTCTGATCCTCCCTGCTCTGGTAAAGAATTTTTTTTTTTTTTTGTTAGTCCCTCGAGTGGTTGCTTAAGTCAGGTCTCACTGTAATTACACACCTCGCAGCAGTGCGGGGAGACTTAATTAAGAGAGTCACCGTAGGTGTGTTGTCAGACAGATACAGCCCGGTCCTGCTGGGGGAGGCTCTAGGATCCAGCTGCAGTGGGCACCTTAGGGAAGACAATTCAAGTTTGCAGAGGGTTTGGAGATCCTCCTGCAAAAAGCAGTGTGGACACACCCAGCAGCCTTTATTCAAAGCCCCTCGACTCCATCATCAGGGAGTCTTGTGGGTTTAAAAAATAAATAAATAAAAAAAAAATATCTCTGTACTCACCAGAGACGCTCTGCCACACTGCAAATTTCATATTCTTCCCCCTCCCCTTTAAAAAGTGTGACTCACCAGTTTCAAACGGTGACATTTCATTCCCAAACTATTCCGGGAGCAGCTGGCTCGGTAACACATGGGGATGTGGGGAAAAGAGAGGAGGGAGGGAAGAGCCAGATTGCAAAGTGAAAACCGCTCGTTCTCTCCCCCACGCAGGTACGTTGCTTTGAAATTTCAGAACCACATCATTTGGGACACGCTGGCAAATTCCATCGGAGGAAAACAATAAACCAAGCAGATTTCAGGGGAAAAAAAAAAATAAATCTGCACGCGCCAGTGATGCAATTCCCCCTCAGCTAGGAAGGACTGGGAGAGCGGTTTGCTCTCCAGATCTAATAGATGTGAGGAAACACACTGTCCCCACTTCTCACTCTTCTTACGAGTTTGAACCCCGCAGTTCTGGGCTGCTCCTTCCGACGTCTTCTCTGTTGGTGCAGACCCAGGTTTTAGTCATCAGCAATACCCTCCTAACGATGAGCAAATGTACATGCGGTGGGAAGATGACAAGGGGGGAATGACAAAGAAAGCACTGTCACAGCTCCCAGTCCCGAGAGGAGTTTTGTGTCACACTGCAGCTTAGCACGGCTCGTGTCCCTGCTGCGGGGACGTCACTGCCACGAGCATAACAACCAGCACGTGAGGACAGGGCTGCTGCGGGCGCTGGCCTGGTGGGCTCGTCGGCACACACATGGAATTGCTGTCGTTGGTGCAGCGCCAGAGGCAGGAGCGTAATCTCTCCTGGCCTCAGACTATAAATCTGTGCATGGCTGATTGGCGTCACAGCAGCCATCCGGCCCCATTCATTAATGTTTGTAAAATTCCACGGGGAGGGAGCGGCAAGTGATGCAACCTCGCAGCCTCCTCGCCGGGAGCGTCCGGCTGCACGTTTGCAGCGTGCAAGCCGGCCTGGCACGAAGGCAGGGGCCAGCAGGCTGCAGGTCGCCCTGCCAGGAGCCCGCAAATGTCAGCAAACATCGGCGCTGCTGCAGGCGAGCGCCGGAGGGGCCAGAGCCTCCAGGCGGACTCGGAAGGGGCCAGCGCAGGATGGCTCTCGTCTGTGTGCGAGCTAGACTGGGGTGCCGGGGGCAGGCGGCCCCGCACACGCTGTCACGGGTGATGGCAGCACACAACCACGCACCCCGCTGTGCCTCATACTGCACGGGCTCATAACCGATCCCCCTGCATGTCTGCACAGGGAATGTTTGATTACAGTTTCATTCATCTCCTCTGCTGCCTTTGTAACAGGGGAAACTCTTCCTGCGGCTTTCGCGACCCAGCAGCGGCTTGGGACCTTGCGTTGGCAGGTTCGAGCCCGTTCCCGTTCCTTACCTGGGGAAGCCTTACTGAAATCCGTGCACATTGAAGGAAGAGGAGGCTGGCTCGCTGCTTGATACTGGCATGCAGCAGCGACGACCTTGGCTAGGTAACCATCTCCTGAATACAAAGATGGATAGAAACGCAGCAATTCCCTTTTTTAAAAAAACCAACCCAACCAATCTTCTGCTAA